TCACCGGAGAACCAATCGATGCTCAAAGTAAGTGAATTATTTACAGTCCACCGTCGCTCAATCGGTAGCATATTTGTTTGGCTGATTGCTATAGTGTTAGAACACTCGTAGATAACTTCCAACTGAATAGGTCTGCTGATAAGTTCGCTGCACTTGGCGAATCATTGTAGGATTTCCTCTGATTCTCTGCGCATTGTCCGCAATTTCAGTAGCACTTTTTTCTGAATTGGGCTGGATTGGGCCAGAGTCAACCCTGCGTTGCGCAGTTCTCAACGGCCACGTTGCGCAGTTTCGCCCGATTAGACACGTTCTCTCGCGCGAACATTCACACTCGCATGCTCGAGCCGTCTGTGTCTCCGCCCATACAGCGTGCGTTGAGGATCTCTCAACGTGCCGTTGCGAACTGCGCAACGCAGGGTTGACTCTGATTGGGTCGCTAAATTAGAACTATCAAGTCAACTGAAAAAGAATGGAATTACATTCTACAAAAACTTTAATTTTTGTGGCATACTTGGCAGATTGCTGAATCTCGAACCCTAAAAATCAACTGTTACAAAATGTTTTGATCATTTTTAGCGGCTCTTCGATGCGGTTTGGTTTCGCGTATTGTGCCGGAAAAGGAGGTGAAGTTTGAGGCGTTGAGGGTTGCGGAGCAGATTGGTCAACACAGCCGTTCGGTCACAGCTCTAGGAAAAGCGTTCTTCTACACGCAAGCTGAACTCCGGGTCAACGAGGCATACAGGTCTGTTTACAGTTTTTTTTTGCAAATCAACAGCTTTGGTGAGAGGATGATGTCTCTTTTGACATCGGATGCTCAAACAGTCGTTGCAGTTGATATGTGCTTAACCCTTGATGGGTGAACAAGTGCAACAAAGGCATGAATGCTGAACCGAAATGCGCTCCCCAAACGAGGAGAGGGAAGGGATGTCTTTTGAGAGCAGCCCGCGGCGATGAGCATAAAAAGGCGTCGGCCACACGCGCCCGCCACGGGAAAAGTGCGCGGTCCGGAAAGGGTTAAAGGTAACAGGAACAAGGATGGGTTTTGGCAAACCACAGCTGAGGAAGAAGGAATGGCGGAAGATGTTCACCATATTCGACCATGTTTGAATTCTGAGGCACAGGACGACTGCAACCATTTGAATCATGTCTATCAGTTCAGGGATGGCGCCACTATTCGCGCACGATCCGGAGACCGAATCCGGCTCATTCGCCCAGGCTCCAAGCCTTCCATCCCTCCGGGGTCGGTTAATTGGTACCAGACTTGTCTGGGAGGATAAAAACACTGACTTGACATCGGCTGGCCCCCGCAAGTCATTGTATAGGCCACATCGCATTCAAACGCCACTACGAATTTGAATGGGAGTAGAACACGTGACACATCGCAGAAAGGATTGAATACTTCAATCCTAAAAGCCTGATCTTTGATCCTTTTTTATCTATTAGTTCAGCTCAACGAAAGTCATCGCTTCTATATATGTATGTAGTAACTATGTGATGTTGAATCTTTCAGATACGGCGGGAAAGTGATGACGGAAAACCTGAAGCTGAAGGATGCCCAGGAAGGAATAAATGCGTTCACTGAGAAACGGAAAGCAGTATTTACTCATACTGATGAAAAATGTTGATAATCATTGCAAGCGTGCGGGTTTGTATTGTTCACTTCTTTTTTTTAACCTGAGGGGCAGTAATGGATGCTGCAATTTTTCGATTGCTCGACTGTCTTAATGACATTGGAAAGAGTTGGCTCCTGCCATGCCACAAAAGGTGGCTTGTTACTTTTATGTGGGTGCAGCATTTCAATCGTGTTCAGGCATGATCAAGCTTCTTCTATTTTTGCATCCTACATTCTATTTCTATCGAATCTCAGATGGTTTACCGGGAGAAACTCTTCTTCGAGACTCAGCGAAAGTCGAGTCGCCGGCTAAGCGTGAAAACCCATTAACAGGTCACATCCATTACCGTCCACCTTGCGTCCTTCATACATGAAAAGAATAAGATCATGATTTGTTTTATAATTTGATAGGTTTTATTTGTTTTGTAGTTTTGATAGGTTAATATTTACTTGAAGCAGCTGAAGGCGTTGGCATTTAGCGCTTTCTTTGATGCGAATCGATTGCACCGTAACACGAATAAAAGAATGTTTTATGATGGTTGTTAGTGAGCATCTCTGTTTTTGGATAGCCTAGCGGAATATGTACAGGGGATGGAGTAAAAGAGGCAGGGGCGTGCAGGGTATCACTGTTGATGGAATACGACAAAATATTCCTTAGGTGTCCCCATAAGCAGAAGCAGGCCCTCCACTGCCCCACCGTCTCAGAATATGACGTCATCTGTCATCACCGTCGAGCTCAAGGAGGCCTACCGTAATCGCTCCATTCTGAAGCTGCTACATAATTTCTTCAATCGTTAACTGGTGAATAGCTTCTAGAGACACTAGCTGTGACTATGCAAGACCGCTTTTGACCAGCGTTTCAGATACGGTCGTAATGGTCTATGGTCCGTCGACGCCCTCGTTGATCTCGTACCGGGCACCTTTTCTCGGAGCGAAGTCCTCTGATGCCGTAGGGGAAGAGGGCTGTCATATTTTGACATTTGGTTTGAATTTAGAAAGATGTATTTAATTCGCTCTTAATGAGATGGTGGGTGACTTTTTATTGGCCCCCTGTACGAGCATGTGGCGTGCCTGAATGTGAAATCATGCATGCCTTCTGGCCAACCTAATATGTTTTTAGGTTCACGATCAAACTTTGTGAATAAGTCCACATGTGCGGTACAAATACATTGATACATTTTTGAGTGGAATCTGGACCACCTATATCAGGTGTCTTCAATACTGGTCCCTTGGCGTTGGCCACCCTCCCCGGAAATCTAGTCCCATTGTTGGTCTTTGAGGTTCCTTAGGCCTGATAACGGAGGCAAAGGGAGCGAAACTCTAGTCTTGGCGTTAGATTCGAATCGGAAGACGTTCAGTTTCTCCTGGGGCTATGTGCAGCAAGCGCTTATCGTTATCGTCCCGTTTTCATTCTGGAGTGCACCTCTTATCAAGCAGCCGCACCTTCTTATCTCATCGTATCATATCTTCCATGGGCTTACACTCGTCCAACAATTACTGCCTCACACCTTATCGATTGATAACGCGAGGGTAGCAAATCCAGCGTGGAAGCCAGCGTGATCGCTTCCTTTAAAAATGCATATTTCTACTATGTGGACGCCACACTCAGCTGGTTCAGGTACACAAATGATAGAGGTCTGTACTTCTCTGGGAATTATAGAGGCCTGGACAAAGGAAACCCCATGAATTGATCAATAATCACTAAGAGTGCAACACGAGTTCTGTCAAACATCTTCTGTCCTACTCCATCCCTACGCGGTGGCTGAACAACGGCGCTAGCACTGCTAGAAGTGGTTGTTCTATGCTAAAAAGCTACGGAAGCATTAGTGGCTAGATCGATCAGAAGGGGCTTAAAAAACTGTGACAGCAAAACGTGTTGGCCCACGTGTGGGGAGCAAATCTCGAAGAAGCCACCGAGAACTTCTCCACAGCTTCGGCCTTGTAACAGCCTAGGTCTCCTTCAATCAAGGCTTGAAGCTGGTCAGAAAACTATTACGCGCAAAATTTAATAAAGTATGTCCGCTCCACGACAACCGAGACCACGTGTTTCGAAATTGGCACGGCTCTGGATTTCGAAGCTTGGTTGAGAAGGGCAAACAGATCCATTGTAGAGCCTCTTCCAAAGGCCAACTACTCTTCTTGCTAAGAATCATCTTACTGACGAAAAATACGATTCAAAAAAGGAGCTCGAAATCGACCTCACTGCCTTTTCCAGCTTGAAACTGCCGACCTTCTGGGAGCACGGCGTCGACACTCTGGTGGATCGTTGGCAACAAGTCACTGATAGCAACGGTCCATATATTGATGATGGATATTGCTTTTTGTTGAGATAACGTTAACTCAAAAAATGTTCGAAAGTGGCACGAACTTTTGGGATAACCTAATATTATGAGGTTATACACAATTTCTAGCCATACATTTACATATTGGAAGGAATGACATCTCGATATGCCCCTCTACTGTTGTGGATATGGCTCCGAATTGCTTCGAAAGCATGCTACTGTGAGATGGCTCGGAAGCAACTTTACTGCGGCCCGCACGGCATCCTGGGGTGTTCTCTTTGGAAGTAGTGCAGGCTCTTTCTCTTAACATAGCCTGCATAGAATGGTCCAGCACGTGAATCGAGGGATAGGAGAGCCATTCGTTCGAGGATGTGAAATCGGAAAGAGTGCCTTAACAGCGCTCCTGAACAATTTTTGCCTCCTATGCAGAAGCTGGGTCCTATTGAAAAGATCATCACCCTCCTCAAAGTGGCTAGATACCTCAGTAACAGATGGTGCACCGAAATGTCCCTTGGCTCGGTCTAGTATCAAGTTGTATTCCTTTGTAAACAGGCAGTGATGGTGAGCGACCGGTAGTTGAGACCCCCTCCAGACCATAATAAGGTTCGACTGCTGCTTGAAGCAAATCTCCCTTGATCCTTCACTGGCTTCTCCAAAACCTCATGGGAGCATCTTCGAAATTTGGAGATTGTGACTTCGATCCATAGTGTGAATATCGCCGTCAAAGCAAATGATGCCCACGTTACAGCCTTTTTCGGCCCTTGGCACTAGCCCTTCACAGTTTTTTGTCTCTGCTGCGCTTCTCTGGTTCTGCAGAGCATAGATTCTTGCGCAGCTTATAATGACTTGTAAGCACTTATTACATGGCCACTCTCCGCATGAATGTGTTCGAAAACTTCAGCGATCTGGTCACCTTTCTAAAGCAAACTCGGGTATTGCTATCGATCCGCTTCCTCATGTTTTCCATGTTTTCCTAAGAACCACGATGGCACAACTTAGGAGTCGGCTGCAACGGAGCCTACATTTATGGTTTTGCTCTTCAGTGCGTAATAGGCTATGGAGCGGTTAGGATTTTGAAGAAG